TAAGATATCGGTGTCTCCCAAGATATAATAGGCGACCACGTTCAATTAATTTGAAGGAAGAAACGTTCATAATAGTTTGAGTTAAGTAAGACTGTACAAGGTGTTTAAATATTTTATTTGGAGAGTTAAACAATAGATGTATTATCATAAGTGCAAATGCAGTAGTAGCCGTTGCTGCCGAGATGCACCGATCCCCTTAGTATGCCGAGTCGCCGAATCCTCATATGGCTTTAGTAGTGTAAGAGTTCCCGATCCGACAACGGCACCTGGCATGCCGATATTCACCTCTCACCCGATAATCCAGTCAAGCAGTCCGAACCAAAACCAACTGAATCGTTTTGCTCTCCGACCTTTTAGAAACTCTCTGCACAAGACTGTCTCAGAAAATCTTTGATAGGTATATTTCTATCCTTGACACGTTTTCTGATAATTTTGCACATGTAATGGAATGGCAAGGCTTGACGCTATTTTCGATTTCAACTTTTACAAATATTGCGTGACAAAGTAGCCAGCAATGCTTTAATAATCTGTGAGTATATCAGAAAGAATAAAGTTTCTTTTTCTTTCCTTTCTTGCAGACTCAGAATGTACTAAATGGAAAGTGTGAAGTAGCAAGGTTGAATTGTCATATTGACGCTAGCCTTGTACTTGTACAGTACTGTACAGTACTGTACACCTGATATTACTAGTAGGAACCTTGAGCTTCTTTTCCTCCCTTATTTGTTCTAAAAGGCTAGTACTGGGATTCATTACATTCCTTAATTACTGGGCTATTCAGTTAAACATTCACTTACAGAATTTGCATTTATAGTAGTGAAAGTATGCGATAATCAAGATATTTTCTTAATACTTTATATATTTCACCAGAGGGGAACACATGCTGATACTTGCCTTGCATCAAAAATTTCAATCTGCACAACTCCCGAAAAACAGAACATTATTCAGTTTCTTATAAGTTCACCATTTACCAAGGAAAGGAAAAAGATGGACAAGTAAGTTCTGATTTTCCGGCATAATACCGCACTCACACTCAACTTGTACCTGCAAACCATGAACAACCTAATTAACAAATCAAATAACAAACCACTCGCGCTCCAGGAACTATTTCCGTAAAAACGGAAGAAAAGTGAAAGAACTAAAATACAAAGAGTTTCCCCCTCCCCACACTACAGACGAACGATGAAACAAAAAAAACATCTAGAACATCTAGATCTCATCCCCTATGTTTTCCGTACACTGCGAGAAAAGGGAGGCGTGACCCCTATAGAAAATCACTTTTGTGGGTTCTCTCCACCATTTTTGGCCAGAGCGGGAGGTTGAATGTGTGTCTCGAGTTCGACAAGAGTGGAGGAATTATCAACGGGTAGCTCGGCGGCGGGAGAGATAGGAGCGGTGGGAATGGCCGGGGCGGCTGATTCGATAGTATCGGCGATTCCAGCGGCTTGATCAATCATTGCGGTTCCAGCAGCTTGACCAACGTTTGTGGTTCCAGCGGCTTGATCAACGTCTGCGGTTCCAGCTGCTTGGTCAATGTTTGCAGTTTCCGGCTCCTTCTTTTCCTTAGGTTCCTCAGCCACATTAGGTTCCTCGGAACCCTTAGATTTTGCGAGTTCCTTACGTTCCTCCGTTTCCTCCTTGACTTGCGGCAGTTCTCCCTTCGGCATTTCGGTAATAGCAACAGCGTCAACTTCGCCAGATTCGACGGGCTTAAGCTCAACTCTGACAAGTTGCCCGTCCGCGCCAATTGTCATCCCTTTGATAGACAGCTTGACACCCTTCCCACCGTATTCCTCAGGAACGGTTTCCGAGTTCAACTCACTGGCGAGGGAAGCTCCATGTCTCAGCATATACAATTTCTTGAAGGTGTCCTTATTGATAACCATCTTCATGGCATTATACATCCAGCCCATAAGAAGCGGCACGTTGACAAAGAACTTCTTGTCCAAACACTCTGGGTAATAATTCTGAAAAAGATCGATAGCCTTCTCAGATGCTGCCTTGATAACAGGATGATTACGCAGGATAGAGACCTGCAGGTAGTCGTGAATTTGAAACGCCTTGTAAGGATCGGGTCCGTTCTCAGGAATAGGAACCTTGACCGAGCCAAGCTCTAGAAGATCGATAGTACGCTCCATGAGAGTTACACGCCAACGGATGAATCTACTAATAGTCAACAATCACATACTATAAGCAGATATAGCAAAGAGGGGAAAAACATACTCATCAACATCTCCAAATGTCTCCTTGAAGTTTTTAACAGCGCCATAAATATTCCAGGTAACAACTACCTCCTGATCACTGCTCTGAATCTTCTCCTTCGTAATCCATGCCAAATCCGCAAACTTTGTCTGATCCCAGGTACCGATCACCTTTCCATCAGCATCGAAATAACCTCTGCGCCACTTAATAGTCTCAACGAATTGCTTCTCAGCAGCAGAAACATTGTTCTTATTCCCGCGGAGGAACTTTTGAAGAATGAGTTTGGTGTGAAAGTCATCCTTATCGGTTGAAAGAGTAACGCCCCACATTTTGGTAGGGGTAGCGGATTCGGCGAGAAGTGGTACGATAAGAGTGTGTAGGTCGGCCAGGGCCGCCGGAGTGGTAGTCTCGTTTGACATTTTTCGTTATAACTGTTTTAATTAATTATCTTATCTATGATGAAATTGTTTGAAAGAAAGAATACGGGGAAACATACCCTTATCCGTAGATATTCTATCGTAGTTGTAGTTGTAGTTGTAGTTGAAGTTGAGGGAAAGGAAGCGTGGTAGGTAGAGGAGGGAAGAAGGTAAGGAGATGAGAGGCGGCTGAAGGATTGAAGGAAGGGGTAGAGTCAGAGGATTACGAGGAAGCTTTTCTCTCCCTAGGTGGGCCCAGTAGTTCAGCGGTCTTAGGTTTTTATGTAGCGCATAGATGCCGCTAAAGCTAGCTTTTAAGCGAAAGTTCAGGGGTTGATCCTAAGTTAGGTACGCCGGCACTGTACTCGTTAGAGGTAAGATGTACCCGTTAACAGCGGGGGGGTATGTTTTATATGGGCGCTCATCCACGCACATATTATTTGCAATCCCTGTTTTGTGGCATCTCTTGGGACCAGCACAAGAAACCTGACAAATCCCTGTAACAGGTGGACCGTACCGCGGTAGCAGCGAAGCCATCCTTACAACCAATCTATCCCTGACGTGCATTGTACGGTGCTGTACGAGTACTCGTACTGTACATCCATACTGCGAGTACAATATATCGTCTATCACTGCTACCTTAAATCGAGCCGACTTTAAAGCATGATAGCAATACCACTATATCACAATTCTGGTTATCTAATTCGCAAAAGACCAGTGGTAACGGTTCAAAGCGCAAAACTTACAAACCGACAAGACTGGGAATTTGATCCTATGCTAATAGGAGTTGTATGATACCGGTATTGTTTTTGAGTCGGTAGAGTGATGTTGAGAGTTTGGCATTTGTTTTTTTTTTGAAACTGCCGTGCTTATTTGATTGATTCCAGCATGGGGAAAGATGCAGCTACCCGAAATAAACCTCAACGTGAAATTGTTAGATATCAAATCCTATATACTCTATTCCGTATATGAAGAACGGCCAACAATTCCGTTAGCAATAAGGGAACAAACTGTACTGTACTAGTCCTATTATATATCTATAATCTGAAATAACAAATAACAATAGGAAAATGCAACTATATATATTGTCACATGAAATACGTAGAAAATAAGGCAATTACAAGGATAAAACTTATACAATCTCCACTGCTACAGACAGAGATACCTCCAGCAAACAAGCATAAACCGGATCTCTACAAACAGAACTCCTCGCAAGAAGAAAGAAAGGAAAAGCAGAATCTGCCTAATTGAACCCTAGTCTAGCAACTCTCTCCGCAACGCCTTCCTCGACGGTACCTCTGAGCATTCGTACCGCGCCACTGCTGGCCAACCCAACTCCTCCACTAACACCCAAAATTCCTAAACCACCAGGCTCCTCGCTGGGTGAGGCAAGTACGGCGACCCTATCAACTTCTGCTGGACATGGCGTTTTGTGAGTCCGCACGTTCCTTCGAGTAGTTGTAGTCGGTGTACTTAAGAATGCAGATATACCCTCGTTCTGGGCGGGCTCGTCCTCATCGTCTGAAACTAAGAATGCTCGGTCAGACCACTGCGCCGAAGATCCTGTAGAGCTGCGATTGTTCCTCTTAATTGGGCTTGCGGGGTCGACTTCTATGTATTCGTCTCCGGCAACGTCCGCCTGATCCTGATTGGTTTCGGGGACATCATCTGTAGTTGCAGCGTATGATGCGCCGAAGTGGGTTTCGACAAGGTGTTGGACGACCGGCCACCCGTAGGCGTTCGCAAACATCCTTCGGACAATGAGGTTATTGTGGGCATCTGGCTCAAGTCTTACAAGTACCTTCCGCCAACTTACTCCTGCATGGTACGCCCTAGCAATTTTCTCTTCTACTTTCAAAGGATTGGACTGACTCGGTTGTGGGATGTCGGCTGCAGAGTATATTCTGTCATGGAAGATCGTGCGAGGCCGAGAATGTGGATCCAGTATAAACGCAGTGCTCGGTAGAGGTGGGTTCAACACGTCTCCAGCAGCTTCAAGAATCGAGGTCCTCGGTGGTGCAAGGAGATTGGTTGAGATGGGTAAATCTGGAGAAGGCGGAGATGGTGGTTCTGGTATAGTTGAGCCTCGTTTAGTGTTTGGTTCCATGTCAATAGTTTGACTCCGACGATAAATCTTTGGGGCGCCCTTTTCTTTGCCCTTACGTTTGGCTGCCTGAGGCCGGAAGAGAGTAAGAATGGAAGTGAATGGATTCGGTACGGAGCTGGCAGTAGCAGAGCTTTCGCTAGAGTCGCGACTACTCGCCGACATTCCCCTCTCTATCTCTCTCCTCGTTGGCTCTCCAGTCTTGGGTGCTTCAGTGACACGATTTTCTTCAACCTTTTCTTCCAATTTGCCGGTACTATTGCTAAACCACGGTATTGTGGGACTGCTGCTAGCCGAAGGCCCAGCACCATACATACTTGGCCTGGGTATAACTCCTCGCCCTGTCCCATTTGTCAACTGTCCCCACCCCCACCCAACAAGTCCACCTACTGCTCCGTTCTCTCTCCGGGCCTTTTCAACTTTGCCAAGACCCTTCCAATCTAGGAATAACAGACAGCTAGTTCTTAGTGGTACGATCCCATCATTAACCACATTTGCATAAACTGTTCGATTCCTGAACATCCTCAAAACATCATGGGCTGGTCCTGTTGGAAGTATACGCAGTAACGGCTTGCTGGTATCTGCTTCATTAGGGTTGGACGGTTTGGAAAATGTGGGCAGCGGAAAAGGTGCACGCCATGTAAGCCCCAAATCCTGTCCTGTGCGTCCCACTAGACCAAAATCCAGGGCGAACTTGACATATATTGGGTTCTCATTGGAAAGACCCAGGAACGGGGTTGCGAGTGCGACAAAATTGATAGGTTTATGCAAGGTGAAGAAGTCGGGCGCATGAGCATGTATGTATGCTATTGCATATGTCTGAACAAGGCCCCCAAGCGAATGCCCAATAAAAGAGATGCTGGTGATTTCGTATGGTGGAATGTCTTCTAAAGCCGGAAAAGATGGAGCAGCTAGATGCGGGTGATGGTGTGCCTTTCGAGATTTTTGTAACTTATTAGGAACGGGAGATGGGGGGGGGCTGTTGGGATTCACGAGGTTAAGAACATATTTCGCTAGTCTCCGGCCCAGAAACTTTATTCCCCTTTCTGTCCGACAGACGTTTCCGTGAAATCCTCGCACGATAACAATCTCCCTATCATGCTCATTGAACTCTTTTCCTTCCTCTGCCGCTTTCTCCTTTGCAGCGATTTCCCCTTTTCGGTACTCTTCGTCAATGGCCTCTTTCATAAATAACATATCCGCTCCCGTATTGCTGTGAAGCCCATGAGTAACGATTACCAGGTGAACATTCTTGGGCTTTCGCTCTTGATTCTTCTTCCTGCTCCGCTCCCGTTCTTCATCCTGCTCATCTGGGTCCAGCTCACTCGGAACCTCGCCCTCATCACCCCAGCTCGGGAAAGCGGGAATATCCCAAAGATCTCTTGTGCCTTGCAATCTCACCTGTAAGGCTTTATGCAATACTCCGCCTTCACCGCTACCCGCAGATCCAGGTCTCGGCGAAGTGCTACCGGATCCAAAGCCATACCCAGTGCTCAAGCATTTCTCATCCTCGCCAAGAAGGACCTCAAAGTTTACACTCGCGTTGGCCGAGAAAATGGCTTGGGAAACCACTTCAACTATCCATGTCACACTCCTCCGTCTCTTGGAATCGTAGTCTACCTCCTGCCGTTCCCTACCCAAACCTACAAGGTGTATATCGTTATTCCGTGATGCATCCTCTATCAACTCTGCCGGCAGCGGAAGTGTAGCGTAAAAACTGGCTCCAGCCTTCAAGTGTGGGTCAAACCTACAAAACTTCGTTAACACATGTCTTCTCTCTTCGTTCTGGTTCAGGCCAAAACAAACTCTGGAGTTCCCCCTTCACCAACACCTCCCTCAGAGGATATGTCTACATCACCCCGCAACTCCTCACCCCGACCCTGGGCTCCGGGAGTCCTTGACGGCCATGGTTGAAACTCCTTTCGCCGTACAGATACGTAGAGAGTGTAAGGCCCGTGTAAATATGCGGCACGGAATGGTAAGGGGGCTGTGTTCTTAATGCGCAGATAAACGGCAGTGGGAGGAGGACCTGTTCGATCAATAGGAGGAGTGTATGTTAAGGTGTAGCGATGGATGTCGCCAACTTTACTTATGTTGGAGGTGTGCAGGAGGAGCATGACGACTGCGTGCGGTTTCCGCTCATGTGGTTGGAATAAGGGATACTACCGGAGGTAATAAATAGGCAAGTACCGTGGTGGAAGGGGGAGGGGACTGGTCAAGATGCTGAGCCGCAGGCTAGCGCAAAGCTTGATTTTTCTATGGTTGGGAAAGGTCTCTCATAGAGAGAGAGAGAGAGAGGTGGGAAGAAGTTGAATATACCCGAGCACCGTAGAGGGACAAAGTAGGGTTTTCTCTCAAAGATTTTAGGTTACCATATTCTAATCTACTGCGGAGGCTACAAGTTCCGGAAATGTAGTTGACTAATCCAGCTAGGCCATCTCGAATAACTCGGTTCGTATTTTCCGCATGCTTTTAAATTATCCTTTGCCCAGACGTGCGAGCCGTGGGAAACACGCAAATGACCACACACTATCCAACACGGTACTGTACGAGGGGGGGGAAGAAAGTAATGCGACACCCGTGCAACACAAATTCCCGTACGGAAACAATATCAACAACATATAGTACTACCATTTTCCACAACCACATTCAATAAATAAAATAAGTAAAGGAGATAAAATTAAAAAATGCTTAGTATTTCCTTAAAGTAAAATAAAAAGAAAATCATAAATCAATAATGAGTTTGGTGCACTTTTCTTCTAATAACCTCTCTGACCCCCCCCTGGCATACTTCTGCAAAGATCCATAAACCTTCCATCAGGAATAGCTTTCCATGCTTCCTCTACAGCTCTGATTAGCTCTTCCTTGCTTGCAACTCTTCCATACCTTTTCCCCAAGTAAGTTTCCATATCTCCCCAAATATTTTCAATTAAGTTCAGGTCTGGTGACTGTGGTGGCCAGGGCAATATATCCACCCC